GGATTTTATCAATCGAAATAATTTTTCGCTGAAGTAATATAGAAAACTAGTAGTTTTCATTAAAGGAAAAAAAATGGGGGGTTAGTTGCACTTTAAGGTTCAAAGAATTATTAGATGAAAAAAGATAAAAACCCACTGTATTCTGTTAGTGTGAGGAATCATTGTTGCAAGTGCAATTTTAGAGCTAATTTAGGGGTTTTATCCCAGGGATTTGATGTGAAAGCTCCAATACCCCAGGGATTGACCGGGCGCCCAAACTTCTTTGGGCTGTAGAATAACTTAACGACCTTAGTCATCTGTGAAAGTTTGAGAGAAATCGGTAAGATGGCATGTGTCACGCCTGCCTGGTCCTCTCGTAGACACGCTCTTAAGTCTCGATAAGTACTTCTTAGTTGTATTCAAAATATTACCTTGTCAAGAGTGTTTTTTTTTTTGTTTGTTTGTTTGTTTTGGTAACTTAATTTTTGCCATTATTGCTCGAACGTTCTGCGGAAATCATCTTAATTTTTGCAGCGAGTTCTTTTTGATTAACTTGTTCTCGCCTTCAAGAGTTTTCAGGGCACTTTCGCTCCTTTGAAGGTTTACCTGAGGTAAACTTACGTCCCTAGTCTGCACTCTCCTTATATTAATGCGGCAATAACAGCATATGGGAATAAAAAACCAAAAGGATTAAAGTAAAACAACTTGATTAATGCACGAGTCTTTAATGCTATATGTCGCCATTTTACTCTGACGTCGTTACATCATCTTTCTCATACTGGTGATATACATGTTAAGTGTAAATAAAAACAGTGCAAAAACGAAAAGCAAACTATTAATCGCGAACGTGTTACTACATCGCATTTTACCAAGGTTTATGTTCAGGGACACTATCTTTTCTCGCCGTTTAGTTGACTGACGTGTTCTCGACTTCTTTACAAAGTAAGGAACTTGAACTAAACTTACGTCCCTAGTATAAACTCTTCTAAAGAAGCCAATAATATTCCGAAAACTACCCATCTTACACAAATTAATGCTGTTTTAATTTCCTGCTAATTTCCCATATATGAAAAGGCCTGTTATTCCTGTTACATTTAATGCATCCATGCCAGAGCCGAGACACTTCATTTTTTCAGAAACTGTTGGCAATTCATGTTATCTATGAAGTTAGTGCATTACATCTCTATTCTAAACAAAAGTTCCATTCTACGAAAGAAATCTTTTTAAAGTTTAGTTAATAGCTGAACCTGGAATTTAACTGTCTTTAACTCCTTCAAATACTTGGGGTATGTTCCAGGCTGTCAGTGTCTCCAATGATGTCACTCTGGAAGGAATATGCTTCATCGTACTGCTGCATTCCGAACACATACTGCCATACCACAACCGTCTTCCCTGCTGTTACCTCGATGGTTGTGGTCTCTTCATATTCTTGTGACCACGTTTTCTCACTGGACTTTTCAACGTAGCCTGAATATTCTGCACCAGCCGCGAAAATGCCTTTCGCAATTCCTGCCGAGACATTCCAAGCATGGTGTTCTGTATCCGAGGTGGTCAGCGACTTTCCAACTTTATATGTGTGTGTGAAGGTGTGTGAAGCTAATGGATCGATGAAAGCTTTTATCACTTTCCAGGTCCCACTCAGTTCTGGAGTTGGATATGGGGAAATCTTAGTGCCATCCGGTTTGCCAAGGTAAAATTTTGCAGCATCGTGGACGTCAGAATGAAGAACGCATGGCGTATCGTTGTCAGGATGGGGCGAACCGCGCAAAGGATGCCAGATCTTTCCACCTCGGTGCATTATACGTTCATCTTCTTCATCAAATGCAAAGAGTGCGCCAGCATGACGATCAGGATGGTACACCAAATCAGTGTCATTGCCCGGATCTATATGCCCAGCTAGAGGATGAACAATCTTACCACTGGCGACATGCTCGATATATCCATAGTGGCCGAAACCTTCAACGGGTACAAATCTGACTTGGAGCTTTGCTGGGTTGCTGTTGTCGTCGTACACGACTAAGTTGGTGTTACCGCCAGGATTGGTAGAGCCCCCAAGAGGATGAACAACTTTAAGCGACGATCGATGGAATATATATCCGATAGGTCCGGGTCCGTTTGCCATCTTATCTAGCTGCGGGTGGTTCTCTTTCGAAGTTTGAACGTCTAGTCAAAGATGCTGAATTGAGAGGTGACGACTGTATTTATAGATTAACATTTAACTATTACGTGATGTCAGTTTCCTGTGTTTGTTACTATATATGGCAAATCAAGCCGTGAGACGAAATTAAATTGACCTCAATAAGGGCGTAGCTTGCGAACGCAGACGTATTTCCGGCTGTCGATTGTCCCCTCTTCGGCGGTGGATGCATTAAGGGTGCAAAGGTTATCGTCAAACCCAGAAAGGCGTGAACGCCTAAAATGTTTTCTGGGATGTTAATTGTGTCACGTCCAATCAGGTGAGAGATGAAACCACAAACTCAACCTCAACGCTGTTATCTTGCATCTGATCGGTGACGACCAGCATTCTAGAATTAAATAATTNCTCGATATATCCATAGTGGCCGAAACCTTCAACGGGTACAAATCTGACTTGGAGCTTTGCTGGGTTGCTGGTGTTGCCGTACACGACCAAGTTGGTTTCATTGTCAGGATTGGTAGAGCCCCCGTAAGGATGAACATTTTTAAGCGACGATCGATGGAATATATATCCGATAGGTCCAGGTCCGTCTGCCATCTCATCTAGCTGCGCGTGGTTCTCTTTCGAAGTTTGAACGTCTAGTCAAAGATGCTGGATTGAGTGGTAACGACTGTATTTATAGATTAACATTTAATTATTACGTGATGTCAGTTTCCTTTGTTTGTTACTATATATGGCAAATCAAGCTGTGAAACGAAATTAAATTGACCTCATGATCAATAAGGGTGTAGCCTGCGAGCGCAGGCGTATTTCCGGCTCTCGATTGTCTCCTCTTAGGCGGAGGACAGGCGGTGTTGGACACGGTTCACGTGACAGTATTCGACCAATCATATGTCGTCTCAGCCGGAGCAATGGCGGACACATTTTTCGTTGCGAATGGAGAGTAGGTTGTCGTTTCTCGACCGATTTCTGCACTCATCATGAGAATCAAACGAACCTTTTCTAGGAGCTGCTAGTGTAATATCTAGACCAGTTATATGCCAAGCCTCAAGTGCAGGTAAGCAATTTTTGCATCAGAACTAGTCAATGAAAATCATGCTGTGTTGAAAACATTTGTTTACCACACGCGCTTGACATAGATATTCTTTTGGTCGTTTGCAGGATAACAGGGATCAGTATTGTGAATTTTTTTTTTGTTTGAAACTTTAGTTCGAGAGTTGAACTTTAAGAAAAGTCCGGCGGGCCCAGGCGGGCCCCG